GTGATGTAACGGATGTTGTCTTTATTTAGCTTGGCTGCCTTGTAGAGGACACTTCAGATGATGGACTGAGTCAGTTTAGCAGAAGAATTCTTCACTTGCCACAGTTCTGTCACATTGTTCTTCGTCAGGCTTAAATGTCTCTCTTTGCCTCGTTTTGATTGGTCACGAACACGACTTCAGCGCCCCGTGACCAACTCTGAAAAAGACACAATCAATTTTTTGGCCTTTATTTATCAAGGGAAGGTTTTTCTGTTCTTTCTCTAGTGAGTGCGATGTTCATTATCTTTCCCAGACAGTCCTTGGATTTCAACTGTCAGGTCAAAAGCTTTTTCTGACAGTTCAGCATTATAGTGGCTGAGGTGAGATAACAGTGGCTCTTAACATGCAGGAGGTTTCATTTTCAGCGGGAGTCGAGGTTGAAATCCTGACAGGATACTAAAGGTTTCCAGTCCTTCAGCAACTGACTCCACCAGCCACATCAAATTAACTTAGGGAACCTTCATCTAATATCAAATAAAACAAGTCGTAGTCTTCTGGGAACTGTTGGGAATTTTGAAATATGTAAAAGTCAAAAACGTCCAGCCATTCCCTTCCTTAAATNGATGGAGGGAGAGGGAAGGAGAGGAGGAAAAAAGGGAAGAGATGTTCAGTCCAAACAGCCTGTCACCAGCTATAACAGAGCATAACGCAACACAGCTGCCTTGTCTGAATGTCAGGAAAAGAAACTTCTCTGGCAGTTTGGAGAAGAGTCTGTAACCAATCTGCAGGTAAACGATATTCTTTAATGGATCGATCCCGTCTGTTCCACCGGTGAAGCCAAAGATAATGGTCGCACTCAGCTCGGACGGCGACATCCGCAAAAACCCACCGTCACTACTCTGATTTACCTGAAGGGCGCTGTTGGCCTGGCTGTTTGTTTTTGTGGGTCAGGAATATATGCCCACAGGACACGCAAACATCAGAGAAGATGAAAGCAGCTTCTACAAAGACTTTAGAATCAACCGAGCTTTGAACAGTAATTGAGGGCGTGCATCAGCTCGCTTCAAATTATCAAGTCAGCTTCTCACCGGCTGAAAAATCTGCTGCAAGTCTGACAGTGGTCATTAGCAAGAAAGCTGGTAGAACTTGTAAGCAATCAAAAGCTGTCAGCTGGTGTTTTTTTTTGTTTTATTTTTAGGAAAGTACCTTGAGGTTTTTAAAATAGTGGTATAAAAGTAAACTATGGTTTGTTTTGGTTTCTCCGTTGGTTCTCTTGCTTTGAAATTCGGTATTTTCACTGAAATCATTGCTCCGATGTCAAAACACAGCGATATTCCTTTAACTACAAAAAGACTGCAGCTGTTATTTTGTTGAGTTCATTGTTTCCACAACTGAAAGAACCGATAGCCAGAGATACAAAACCAAACCCAAGTTGCAGTAAGCCTTGGTTTTCCTTTAAAGTAAATGAATAAATTGTTTGATTCTGGGAGAGTTATAACTCCCGAAGAATCATCCAGTCAAATGAACAACAGGAGGTTGAGCAAATCTACCCTTTTTAGCAACTCAACACAAATCTTACTGTTATTATATCAAAGTATATTATATTATTCTCTTTCCTTCAACAGATGAGGTCCATCAGGATACAGCTCCTTAGTAGAAATACTAAGGAGCTGTATCCTGATGGACCTCATCTGTTGAAGGAAAGAGAATAATATAATATACTTTGATATAATAACAGTAAGATTTGTGTTGAGTTGCTAAAAAGGGTAGATTTGCTCAACCTCCTGTTGTTCATTTGACTGGATGATTCTTCGGGAGTTATAACTCTCCCAGAATCAAACAATTTATTCATTTACTTTAAAGGAAAACCAAGGCTTACTGCAACTTGGGTTTGGTTTTGTATCTCTGGCTATCGGTTCTTTCAGTTGTGGAAACAATGAACTCAACAAAATAACAGCTGCAGTCTTTTTGTAGTTAAAGGAATATCGCTGTGTTTTGACATCGGAGCAATGATTTCAGTGAAAATACCGA